AAAAAAATAAGTATTTTATGTCTTGACTTCTCATATTCGAAGTTTCAAGAGGACTGTCAATAGTTTCAATTTGCAGAGGATTTAAGGAACTGAGACTTGCCAAAGATCCCTGAGTTTGGAATAGGAAGGAGGAGTGAGCAACAGCCAGATTGTAGGGGCTAGAGAAGTTAGGAAAGAAAGGCAGTACATGCAGACCACTTGTTTGTGCCATGTGTCTGTGAATGGCAGATGAAAAATAAGAATACCATTGGAGCAGGGATCAGAAATTGTGCATCGAGATAAAAAAAAAAGTTATTTTGATGATACATGGAGATTTATATAAAGTTTTTAGTAAGTGAGGAGGGAAGTAGTGGAGAGAAAGAAATTCATGATACTATGAAGTAATTCTAGTATCTCCATTTCAGGCTAAGTTTAAAGACATGATTCACTTAGAGACTTCTTGACCCCCGCTCTGGATCCCAGGGCCACTTATAATCACTAGGCATTCATGCAGCAAGTGTTTAACAAGCAGCTCCTAGTCTAAGTGCTGGGGAGAAAACCATAAACCATAGGTAATGTAAATAAGAAATGGTTCCTTCTAGGCCCATTAAAGGAATATTCCGCTCATAAAAAAGGAAGGCTTTCTTTAACAACAGAACTCACCTTAGAAGCACTCATACTAGCTCTGTCTGAAGTCACTTTTTTGGGCATGGTTTGTTTTTTTTTAAACTAAGAGCATGGTTTTTAGAATGATCTGTCTCTTGGGTTTGAATTCTTGCTCTGTAATTTACAAGTTAATCATTTACTTGATCTCAAGTAAGTTATTTAAATTGAGTCTTCTACCTAGCAGAATACATAAATAATAGAGTTATTAAGAATTACAAATTATTGTAAGAATTAAGAATCAAGAATTACTGTTAATAATTGAGTAGATAATAAATATACAATATGGAACTTAGTGCATGGTATACCATAAGCCCCCCATAAATATTAGCTGTTGTGATGAAGATTATGATGGTTATAATGATGATTCCTTGGGTTCCTGGTTTGGCCTTTCCTACCTAGTTCTTCTGTCCCATTAATATGACATGGCAAAAAGCAACAGAGAGATAGAGACAGAAAGACATTAGGAAGCAAAATATTAATTGATTTGAAGTGGATGGGGTCATAACAAGTAGATATGGCAAGTCCATATTCCCACCTATTGTTGGAATGATGTCTTCCAAGAAATGATGGCTTTTTTTTTCTTCTTTTTTTAAATTTATTTAAAAAATTTATTGTAATATAGTTCATTGTACATATCTATGGGGTACGGCATTGAATATCAATATCCATATGCAATATGTGATGCTCAAATCATGATAATTAGCATATTCAGTATTATACAATATAATCATATTTTGTGGCCCTTTACCAATTTCCTGCTAACCCCCTTCTCACTCCCCCTTTCCCACCCCTGATGACCTCAGTTCTGTTCTCTTCCAACAAATTACTGTGATTGTTATAGCTTTCTTTCTTTCTTTTTAAATTTATTTATTTATTTTTTAGATCCCACTTATGAACGAGAACATGTGGTATTTCTCTTTCTGTGCCTGGCTTATTTCACTTAACATAATTTTCTCTCAGTTCATCCATATTGTTGCGAATGGCAGAATTTCAGTTTCATTCTTTTTTATGGTAGAGTAGTATTCCATTATGTGTATATATCACATTTTTCTTATCCAGTCATCTGTCGATGAACATTTATGTGGGTTCTAACTCTTGGCTATTATAAATAGAGCTGCAATAAATATTGGAGAGCAGGTATCACTTTGACATGATGATCTCCATTCCTTTGGGTATATATCCAGTAGTAGGATTGCTGGATCATATGGCAGTTCTGTCTGTAGTTGTTTGAGGAATCTCCATACTGTTTTCCATGATGGCTGCACTAATTCACAGTTCCACCAACAGTGTAGGAGGGTTCCCCTTTCTCTGCATCCTGGCCAGCATTTGTTATTTTCTGTCTTTTTGATAATGCAGTATAACAGGAATGAGATGATATCTCAGTGTGGTTTTGATTTACATTGCCCTGATGCTTAGTGATATTGAGCATTTTTTCTTGTGTCTGTTGGCCATTTGTATATCTTTTTTTGAGAAATGCCTATTTAGTTCTTTTGCCAATTTTTTAAACAGGTTACTTGCTATTATTTCATCAAATAGTTTTTCAATGCCTTTTCCTTTTTCCTCCCCTTCTAGAACACCATGATTCAGATGTTTGTGCACTTAAGATTATCTGTTAGCTCTCTTAGATTTTCTTTATTTTTAAAAAAATTCTTGTTTGTTTGTTTGTCTGCCTGGGTTATTTCAAAAAGACCATCTTCAAGATCAGAAATTCTTTTTTCTGCTTGCTCTAACCTGTTGTTTAAGCTCTCAGTTGTGTTTTTTATTTCATCGAATGAATCCTTCAGTTCCAGGAGTTCTGCTACATTCTTTTTAAGGTATTAATCTCTTTTTAAATTTCCTTCTTCATATTATGGATACTTTTTCTCATTTTGTTGTTTCATCTGAGTCTTCTTGTATTTCATTGAGTCTCCTTAAGATTGTTGCTTAGAATTCCTTTTTAGCCATTTCAAGGGTTTCCTGCTCTAAGGTGTCTGGTACTTGAGATTCACTGTATTCCTTTGGTGGTGTCATATTTTCTTGTTTTTTTTTTTTTTTTATTATTTCAAGTATCTCTACATTGATGTCTGGTCATCTAGTAGAGCAGTTGCTTCTTTTATTACTCTGGAGTGGACTTTGAGGAGAGAGACTGCCTCCCATTGATGTGTTTTATATAGACCGTTGAGAAGGGTGTTTTAGTATTGGATCTTGGTAGATGCAGTAGTGTCTCCATGTGGGTACCACGGCAGAATTCTGTGTTGGCATTGCATGTGAGTGCCTCCATGACCTAGGCACTGGGGCACTTAGTGCTTCCTTTCTGAAGTTAGTGACAATGTGTTGGTTCATTGAGGATGTGGGTGAGCGCTTGAGGTCTTAGGAGAAATGCCTGGGTACCCTGTTGCTCTTTGACTGGGTGGGTGATACTGGGAGGGCTTGTTGGTACCCTGGCTAGCATCCTGTGGCCTTGATGGTTGCACTGTGGTATACTGGAGCTCCTCATTTTAAACAGGTGACCCTGAGCAGGGTTTCTCTTTCCTCTTTATTACAGACAGAGGTGCCTTCTAGGTCCTTGCTTCCCCCTGTCTGGAGATGGGTTGGTGTGATTGGGAGTTTTCTTCCTTGCTCTCTTTGGGTTTCTGTACTTCTGGGAAGTTCTCAGTGCATCTCTCCCCAGCCCATGGCAGTTGTGTGGGCTTCACACATACCTCTCACCCCCAGGTGTGCCACCACATGTAGCAGCATTAATTCCCCCTGTGGGTTGGGCTACTGGGTCACAGGTCTGTGCTTATTCACTTTTTTCCCTGGGTTCTGCTGGTGACTCTCCTTGTGTCATTGCAGTTGAGTGGTCAATGGCCTGCCTGCATGGTGATGGTGGCTGATGCAGCAGCAGAGGCTATTGCAGACCACCTGCGCAGCAGTGGTGTCTGTGACAGCAGGAGCTTCCTTCACTCCTCAGGTCCCTGGGTGTTCCTGCTGTCTGTTGGGCAGGGTCTACCTGCAGCCCCAATGATGGCTTTTGCAGAGATAATTTGGTTCATGGAAAAAATCACTGAACTATCTCAATGGTCTCGAGTTTTAACTTGAGCTCATTAATTCATTTGTTATTTAAAGAATTAATACACATAAAGCACCTAGAACAGTGCCTGCTACACAGAAAGCACTCAATAAATGTTTCTGTCATTGCAGGCTGTTATCATTCATTCATTTATTCTTTCCTTCATCCAAACAAATATTTAGTGTGAGCCTGCTAACTGCCAGTTTCCATGTTAGACATGGTGGGTACTGGGTGAACTAGATGAACAGGGCCTTTAGCATTATGAAAAAAAAATTCTAGTGGAAAGGAGATCTGCTATTCTTGGTCAGGTCCCTATTCTCTTCTGGGACTTAGAGTCTTCATCAATATAAAAATAAAATTCAGCTTTAAAATTTTAGGATAGTATTATCCTATAATACTATTCGCTTGACTGACTATATGCTGATATAATAATATGAACATATTTATTAATTCAGCTAATAATATTGATGCCTGCTGTATGTAGGTACTGTGCTAGGTGCTAGGGATATAGTAGTAACCAGAGAAGACAGGACGCCTGCCCTCGTGGAGCATTAAGTCTGACCCATGAGGCACATGTTGACAAAGTAATTGTGAACATGATTAGTGTTACAAAGGGCAAAATACTAGGTTTGTATTACTGATTCGTGTAACAGAAACTAAAAATGTATGTTATTTTTGATAGAAGGAGCATTGTAAAGCCTTTATCCAGCTTACCTTTTCCTCCCATTTTGTAAGTTTATATTTTCTTGTCTGCTTCAACAGGAGCAGTTGGACAT